TCATAAGAATATAATCGATATAATTAGCATCATGATAAGTTTACATACCAAATATGATAGAAATTGTTATCAAAATTATACGAACCATAATTTAATACATAATTAAATTTAATGGCAACAAATTTAAAAGCGAGTTACATGTATATATATCATACTTTTTTATGATTATTCCAAATATATGCAATCCCACAAACGAAAAATATTCAATATTATGCATTAAATCGTGCAAGATATTCACGCATCATCTTCGTCTGATTGCACTCTGTCAATGATACATCGATGTACTTATCTCCTTACAGACGAGGTCTTAATCTGCCTTAAGTGCACTCCAACGTTCGGCGATTTCGTTTGAATTAAGACACGCAAGAACCCATCGCCGAAGTCTGTTTGTCGCTACGACAGTGAAATACAGCGGACCTCGTTAGCCAAATTTCGGTATTATCAGCTCATTAGCATATCGTCTTCGCGCGGGCCGAGATAGAGATATAAAAACATTAATCCCCGTTAAGTGCACTCAAGTCCGTCGATTCGTTCGAAATAATGGCGGGGCGCGGATATACCCTCCCGTTCTCGTTCAGTCACGCCGCTTCCTGGTGCTTTGTCTTTCAGGCACCCGCTGGAGAATACCGCAAACGTTGCCCACGGCGGCTGCGGTACGATCCTGCACATAACGGCCTGCGCTTTGACAAGTTTACGTTTAACGGGATGCAAATGCCATGCGGAGGCGCGTCCGCATGCAGGTCCAGCCGGACACTAAAGAATGGAATACGCGAAATGTCGGGGAGTAAAATGAGAGAGATGAAATTAGTGGCGGGAGAGTGGGGGGGGGGCAGGGAGGGAGAGATCGGCGTAATTACATGTGTACGGGAGAGGAGGAGCGCAATGTACTCTAATCCTCGTATAACGGACGAGAAGAGAGGCGCATCGGCACCGGAGAATGCTGGCCAAACGCCAACTGCTAGACAGTAGAAACGGTTGTTTCGGCAGCGAACTATATCACCGCGGTAATTCGCCGCGGATGTGACGCGTATGTGCGCGCGATGCGCGCGGAGAACACGCGGAAGCGAGCGTAAGTACTTACGGCCACCAGTTGCCTCTTCTTTGTCGGTTCCCGATAATTAATAGTAGAGACTACCCGTTATAGATCTAGTAATTTTATTACTGTAACGCGAAATATTATTCTGATTACATGAAAAGTAATCGAAAACTTGGCCAAAATATTGGGAAAAGATATTTTTTGCGATCAAAACGCTATTTTCACTCGAACGTAGAACCAGAATAGCACTTGAAAGTTCATAGATTGAACTTGAAAATCGTTTTTCAATTGGCATCACATGTGCACAAGAAAACAATGCAATATATTAATTTTAACAAAAATTTAATTATATATTAAACATGAATTATCTTGATTCTATTATAGCGCAATCGCGTATAGGCTAAAATAATATTAACACACACATCGAGCTATTTTCATATAATTAAAGTTTTGAACTTTTATTTGATTTATCGCTACATTAAACTATGATTACTTTATTATTTTATTAATATTTAAAATACACAATTTCAAAATGTTCCACATTCGTGTAAAAATATAAAACGCCATTCGTAGCACTAAGCAAAAACCAAAGTGCTCGAAAATATTTACGGAGCTGTGTTTCCATAAGCGACCGATAGCGATGGCTTTTGGAATTGCAGCTACACATCTCTCTCTTACCATTTGGTATATTTACGCCAGTACTAGAGACCTTGCAAGCGAGTGTTTTCGTCTCGCTGACTATATCGTTGGCAGCTCACTGCGTATGTACGCGGTGAACCCACATGTATGTAAGTACTTACGACCACCAGTTGCCGCCTCTTTCCCTGGTATTACATCCATCGAAGTATAAAGCATCGTTCAGCAGCATGGACGAGATGGTTTATTGATCATTGCGGCGGAAGCAAGAATTACCTTCGTTCGCGCCCTTATGTCGTAAATATAAAAGGAACATCACGGTCCTAACAATTGCGTTGAAACATGGTCTGTCAGAGCGTAAAATTAAAATTACCTGTATGAGTCAACATATGTAAAAAAAAGAACAAAATATTGCAATAAAATATTAGGTACGTTCAACGATTGTTGCATAAAAATCTCAATTCACGTTTCATTTGATCTAATCATATATAAAGCATCACACACATTTTCTCATATTAACCTTTTACATTAGACTTTCGTCATCTCTACAGGATTGTCTAACATATCTATTAAATGCAATCCATTATTATATTCATTAAATAAGATACAAAAACATTTTCAAACTTATCTTGTGTCACAAAGTATTGCAATGTTATTTGAATAACTCAATTTCGATCATAATCATTCTCTTTATTAGATATAATGGCCAGGCGCAGTGATCCGTAAAACCTCGATATCAGTAACAACGAACGCTTATATATATTCTATAATAATAATATATCAGTATTTTAGATAAATGCAATTTAGATTATTAGGGGAATGTAGGATAACATACTTGTAAAGTTCTATTTTACACTGTAAATTTCAATCAAATTTTGATGCAATTATATAGAGCTACGAATCAAAACCTGTTATGCGTACGTGAAATGACGCACCTCTAATGAGCAACGAAACGTAAATAATTATCAATTGGTAACTAACATGTACGCATGCATTAGAAATTCTATTTAATGATGTAAACGTTTCCGTCAATCCCTAACTACATAATTGATACAGTAATTTCGCAATTTACAGGAATGCCTCTACGCAATTCAATAATTGATTACACTTCCAATAAAATATAAAACGATTCATTTCTAACACCATTATTTCGATTATTTCTCGCTTTCGGGCGAATGGTACTTATACAAGATGAATTCATTATAATTTCGCTGGCCTCAGTTCTGAGAAAAATGGACATTTCGCTTTTCCAGCGTAGCCTCTAACGATAGAGATATTGATACAACAACAAGGCTATCTATAACTTTCCCTAGGAACGCGTATATAGACTCTCCATAGTCACTCGTCGTTACGTGGAGGATGGGCCATTGTAAATCCACGTTAGTATGTGCAGAGGGTTGTGAACGTACCCTGAGTAACCACCCTTCTTGTTCTCGAGCACCGTCTATAACATCGTTCCTGAGTTCCACAGGACATCGCTGGACGACTTGAAAATTTATTACCAGGATAGGAGGGAAAAAAGCTGCGGAGAACCCGACTTCCTGGCGATATACTTGCCTGCGCGTCTGACCCTTAATTCCCTCGGGACGGACAGAAGTAGTGACTTTAAATTGCGTACACCGCTTAACCGGTAGATTTTCCGAGAGTCCATAAAATGTTTCCTGTGATACTTCTTTAGTTTCCGGCAACGATATCTGCGTAAGGAACGTTGCGTCCGAAATGCTTGAGAAAGTTCTTTCGTATTTCGTTCGTAATAGTTGTGTTTGCGATATCGATACAAAGATATAAATGTTAAGTGTTTTCTCTTTGCGAGGCAAGATATTTCTTTCGTTTTTACTCATTTGAATAAGCACGGTTATAACTGTTTGTGGATACTTTTATTCGTGTATAGAAAGCGAATAAAATTGTCCATAAAATCTCGTCGTTACATCTCGTCGAGAATTCAACGCATGAAATATATACCAGAAGGTTGTCTTTATATGCGGTGCACGCAAAGGTCTGAGCCCTCATAAAGCCGACTTGTATAAAGTGTTACTTAAATGTACCGTGAACAGATCATCCATCCTGCGAAAGCGATCCGCGATCTCCGTTTTGGAAGATACTTCACCATGATAATCCGGTCTTGTGGAGGGATCGATGAACATATCCAACAAAAAACTCAATATGGTAAAAACAAACATGTACTATTTCGCTTTATATAATAATATTTATTATATTAACACTATATATAATAAAGAAATATTATACTATTATATATATTGTCCATTTATAACTTGTTGAAAAAAAAACATTTCGCTCTCGCATATAACTAGTTCAATATTTTTATATTTCATGGAAACTACCTGTCAGTTGCACTAAAAATAAACTGACCATACTAAAATTCACCGGTTGTGATCTATACGACTCGCAAATCATACTGGCAATTATTCACGTCTCTATGAATTAAAACGTATAAAAATATGATGCATTTTGGATAGTATCAATCTTGAAATAAACACGCAAATTAGTAAATGCATTTATGTAAATTACAAGTGATTTCTTCACAAATGGCTTCAATAATGTCATTTAGATCAATAATGTCTCAATGTCATTTAGACTTAACTTTTCAAATTTAGTCGACTTTAATAAATTATGACAATCAAAAATTTTTATATATACATACATATATGTATAATTTTACAAATCTTTTATACAAAACATATATAATAGTTTAGTAAAATTAGTCTAACTTGATAAAATATCAAAAATAATATGCTTATATATCTATGTTTAAAAAATTGAAACAATATGATATTTAAATTAATTAAAAATATATTGCCAACATTTAGAAATTTCTTCATTATCAATATAATTAATCAGAAATAGAGTGCTGTCATCGTAAGGCAAAAAGCTACACAACAAGCACAAATAACAAAATCGATCAAATGTTACCAGCAGACATTCTATTACATATCTCTGTTTCATTCAACAGAAATTATTAAGTACGGATAATCTTACCATTTACAGATTAAAACGAACATCTTTCCCCATTCGGACAGTTTCTCTTTCAGAGTTTCTGGCCGATATTGTATCGTACGAGAGACTGAAAGAAAACCAGAACCAGGGTCTGATCATCCATCAGCATAAAACTATGTACCGACTGCGTTCTCCATGAATCCGGCATGAAAGAGCACCGACTTCTCTTGCATTCAAAGAGATGCCGCCGGTGCAAGCGATGTACGCTTGTCAAACGTACTTATAATGACATTTCTATAATTAGAAATGTATATTTAGTAAATTCATTCTTTTTTTGCATTGCCTTCAATTTCCATTACGTAAAGATTCCACGATGCTTCGTGTGGAACATGAATGTGAGCTCGAAGACACACACGAAGATGTACTCTTTCTTCCCGATCGCAATTTCTTCCAAAAAGTCCTTGATGCTTTGCGTTATTTGTTAATGGCATCAGACAAAAATCCAGGCGCTCGCAAATATTTACGCAGTAGAGCTTCCATAGTTTGGGAAAAACGACGGCATTTGCGTAATTATAAATATATTCTCCATCCATTCAGTATGTTTAGGTATCTTTATATATATGTTTTATTAAAACAAATTTTTCTCTATAATATGGCTAATATATATATATATATATATATATATATATATATATATATATATTTATGTAATATATATTCTCTCGAATAAAATGTTAAATTAAATCAAATTTTTTCTAATATAGACTTTGCTGGGATATCATAATGATTTTAACGATAACGTGTTTACTACTGACTGTTCCGTATTACGCTGCCTTCGAAATAAACAAGCGTTCGCATAATTGGACAATTTTCAAAAATTTCCTGCTTTTTCTTTGTTGCCTGGATATAAATATTAATTTTATGACAGGGTAAATATAATTTAATTAATAAATATAAATAATCTGAATTTAATTTAATGCGTATCGATTTTTCTACAAATTAAAAATTAAGAATTTTTCGTTATTGGACAGATATTTTGACACGATGTATCACATTGTTGTGATGGAACCGAAAAAGATAATGAAGAGATACATGAAACACGGCATCTTTTTTTTGGATTTGCTGGGCTCTTTTCCAACTGATATCGCATTCGTTAAGATATGGCAAGAGTATGCAGTTACACGCGAGTTGACGTCTCTAATGTGTGGATTTCGCGTTTTCTCTCTCGCTTCTTACATGAATAAGATTGTCGACGAGTATAATGTTTCATTAGCCCTCTACGAGGTCTACATCATGATATTTTGGCTGATAATAGCGTTCCAATGGCAGTCTTGCTTTTACTGGCTGGTGCCAATAGCGACGACTTCTATGTCTTTACCGGAGCGTCCCGATAGCGACTTCTGGATACACGAGTTCGATCTTTGGGAAGAACCTAAATCTCGACAATATCTATCCAGTCTCTTACGCGCTTTCACCGTTTTCCTCTCGTCGGGCTTCTTACACAGAAAGCCGAAAAACGAAGCGGATCTCACGCTAAAGATAATCTTACAAATATTGGGAAGTTTAACTATTTGGATCTTGATAGTTCGCGTGAGGCAACTTTATAAGGGTGCCAATAGCTCTAAGATCAAGTATCAAGACATCATGGCACAGCTCAAACAACACATGAAGCATCGGCAACTGCCACATGCGACTCAACATCGTATCATAACCTACTATGAGTTTTGCTTTCAACAACGCTATTTTCGCGAAACCGAGATCCTCAATACCCTATCCATATATATGCGCCAAGAGATCAGCATGCACGCCTGCCGCAAACTTGTGGAAAATGTTGCGTTCTTCAACAATCTGCCGCTTTCGTTACTGGCGCGCATCGTCGCTCTATTAAAATCTGAGATATTTCTGACAAACGACGTGATTGTACGGGCCAATCAGCCGGGTGATTGCATGTATTTTATCGCTAGCGGTACAGTGGCGATTTATACAAGTACCGGGAAGGAGATATGTCACTTGGAGGATGGCGCATATTTTGGGGAAATCGCCCTAATTATGCCTGACGAGCGAAGAGTGGCTAGTGTCGTCGCTATTGAAATATGTGAATTGTATCGTTTAGATCGAGCTGATTTTGCCAGAACGATTCATCCGTATCCTATGCTATGGGAACAAATCAAGAAAATAGCCGTCAAGAGACACGAAAGGACAACAATACTCAATACACAGTAAATATATATTGTACAAGTAAATATATATTGCACAAGTGTGAATATATATTGCATAAGTTATTTTACTCGGAAATATTATTTTTACAAGATGCGCTTATTTTTTTAAACAAGTGAATATATATTGCATAAGTTATTTTACTCGGAAATATTATTTTTACAAGATGCGCTTATTTTTTTTTTTAAATGGCATAAAATTTAAATTTTTGTACAATTTAAAATTACGATGTCAGATTATTGCTTTTAACATTGGTACTTCTTTAATTATTAAAACCAATATTTGTCTAATGACGCACTATATCGGGAGTAAATAACATTGAAAATTGCTCTGTGATCGTTATAATTATACTATTAAATTGTAATTGAACGCCGAACGTATTATTGAAACAATTGATCAAGCGATAAATTAAAAAAAAAACTCGATTATTTATCCTTGCAACGTAGCATTAGGATACCGGATTTATCGATGAGATCATACTTCGGAACAATGCGTTCGCAATTCGTGCCTCATCCATAGTTGTTTAACAGATATAATGTGTTCTAAACTTACTGCAGCGCACTAATGTCAGGTTACAAGGACTGCCGTTGTTAGTATTAAAAGAATTGTTAATGATCGTTGACGATAATAGCGGAAAATTGTTAAAGAACCGATAAATTTCAAGACTCCGATAACTGTTTCTCGTAACCCAACATTAGGGCAGATTTATTACCCTGGACGTGGATCAAGAAGATCGCGATCGTGCGCCGCGGAAGACTACAATTTTCAATGTACTGTAGATCATCGGTAATATCATGTAGCAAGAAGAGAATACGTGATCACTTCTCTTAAGATGAATTCGCGATAATTACAGTTTAGCGTCGCGCATCGCGTTCGGTACTCGGGCTTGTTGTTTTGCGAACGTCAAAAATCAAATCCATTCGAAATGCATCGCGCGTATCAAATATATCGAGCTATGAATCGGCAAGTGGAACACTTAATGTAATGAAACGAGAAACGGAAGGACGTTTCCCTTTGCTTTGTGGTTGTGCGTCGATGTGCAACTAGCTCGCGCTATTAATACTTATCGGGATCTGGGATCATTATCTTTAACGCTGGTTGTAAGATCCGTAGTTGATTGTAGTCAATGTCCCGAGATATTACATTAAGAATAGGCGTGTAACGAGAGAAGGTCTGATTTACTTGACGATGCGTGCTTATCTAAGAAATTCGCGTCGAGTTAGTCCGACCGGTTCTACCTGAATATCTCCATGACACGATGCAATGATACGTTATCCGTTATTAATGAATGCAGTTTTCACGATAATTGTTTTTTGTGGTTCCAGGACGGACTTGTTCTTTCATCGGACGAAGAATTTCTAAGCCGGAAAACTTGGATGGTATGCGTAAATAATGGTATGCATACAGGCGTAAAAAAGAGGAATGTCATCGGAATTTTTTATTAAACGGTAGCGCGATAACAAGTTTGTCCCGCGATGATATATCTCGCTTCTCTGTTATTAAATGCGACGAATATGTATTTTGATTATCCAGCGTTTGCAAAAAGCGACATAAATTACCGCAAAAGAGAGGAATAAATTCTGACGGTCGCGTATCGTCATAGTAGTAAAAACAAAACAAAGCGTGGAAATTGCGGACGCGCAAAGTGTCCAGTAAACATACATTAATTATTTTTTCAAGAGAGACAAAAAATACGGTGAGTATATCAAGAAAGACCGATAGCTTAATTATGCGCAAACTTAACGACAAGTTATATTACCATTGCATTAAATCGATTGGCAATTTGTGCGAAATGAAATTAATGTAAATAACTAATCGATAAGCCGGGCTATCAGATTTATCGTGTCAATCTCTGATGATTTTTTTCTAACGAAAAGAGGGGGGGGGGAGAATTGCACCGCTAGATAAAACTAATTAATATACGCAAGAATGATTATAGGCCGTCGACCGCGCAGAAATTCACGCCTCGCCCGATCTCACCGTGGAAACGACTCGGGGGGCGACGTTATCCGACCGCGGCGGGTGCGGCGAGCCGCCCATTCGACGAGAAACAATGGTTTGTGCGCATCGACGCATGGGCAGAGAGAACGCCGATGACAATGAAACGTTTAGGAGGGCTGGCCATTGTAATAGGCCGACGATGCGCCTGCTTGGTAGCTTCCAAGCGGTAGCGTACACGCACCGGCGTATCCCTACCGCCGCGCGCGCACCGGCTTCGGGTAGAAAGGGATTGCCGGGCGTTAGGATAGTACAAACGAGAAAGAGAGAGCTCGCTATTGTTATCAGCACGGTCGGTCTGCGAGAACGAGAGGAAACGTTCCCGTGGAGAACGAGTGACGATGAAACGAGAGGAGAAGCCGAAGAGAGACGGAGGATGAGGAGCGAGAGGGAAAGTGAAGGAGATAGAGAGAGAGAGAGAGGGAGAAGAAAACATCGTTGTGGCTATGGTTATATGGCCACACCCCATGGAGCCAGCCAACGAGCTCTCCACCGACCGACGACCCACCTGACCCCACAATGGGCAGATCCACGTAGCTACGCTCGGTGGCTATGCCATGCATTGTTCCCCTCCTGTGCGCGTCAAGTGATGTGCACGTCGTGGAAACGGGATGGAAATGCGCGGGTGGACGAGGTGTGCGTGAAGAATGGGAACGAGAGGGAGAGACGACGATGATGCGGCCGAAACGAGACCTCGGCTGAACACGTCATTTACGGTACGCGACACGATGACAACGTCGAAGACGCTGAGAACGCGAAGCGTAGCAGGCAGGCTTGGGATCGTTAACGCGTTTAACGGTGCATGAGTGATGCGGGATCACGATATGTTCTTTAGAATATACACCGAGCATGTCGCGGATAATTCGACTCGGTTGCTTCTTCCATGACCGCGTACTTTCTTCTCTAATCACCTCTCTATCGTGTCTTGCGTGCGCATTTGGAGGATGAGGCGGAATACGCGTCAAGGGAAGAAGCGCGGAGACGTTGGGTTCGTTGCCCGGGATGCTTCGGCGAAACGTGTACTTGAGGAGCATCCGCGGTAGCGAATGTGAAAGTCCATAAAATAAAGATAATTTCAAGTTAAAGAGACATTAACGACGTACAAAGCTGTGTAAATCTTACATTTACGTATATTCCTGTTAATGGCTCGTATACATGTGTAGACGTATCTGGAGATGAAAATAAAAGCACGTAAACAGCGTATCCAGTTGCAGTCATGTTAGACGAGTAGTAAATCTCAAAGATTGAATAGCATCTATGTCGGAGAAATTGCAAAACATTCCGATCTCGACGGAATTAAAGCGTGGAAACGATTCGGGCTCGTATCGCAACGGCGTTGCAACGGCGAGATCGAGTCCCTCGTAGCGTCTTCGCGCGCAGATATCTGGATAGACAGATACGCGGAGCGTGTACACACCTACATCAACAAAACCCGGCGACGTCGACCCTGGCGGCTGCCTTCTCCTCCGCGATGGGTCGATACTCTGCGAGCCGCCACCCTCCCCCGCGCTATCCTCGCTCCGCGTCTCGTGCCTCCTCTGTCTTTTGCCCCTACTGCCGCTGTTTCCGTTCAACCCCTTCCATCCTTCCTCTCACATACCCATCTTCACCCACCATCGTACCGTTCTCTCATCCCTTGTGCTTCCTACCCCTACGTCGTCCTCCGTTTCCACTTCCTCCTCCTTCACCTCCGGCCATCTCTACCTTCCCGCCGTTACCACCGCCGCCTCTTTTACCCTCGGTGGCCTCGTCCATAGGTGTACTAGTTGATTGATCGTTTATCGATACGCAGAGGGCCCACCCCGGCGAGTTGCGGGTACGTCCTACACCCGGTCCCCCGTCCCCGCGCTCCGACTGTTCCCGCTTTCAAGTATACGCATTACACATTTATAAGGGCGTTAAACACGAGCCGCATCGATGGCATAGAACGCTATACAAGGGGTATATATGCGTATTTCCCTCTCATCCTCTTCCACGTCCTTCCCTCTTCCGCGCCTCTCCTGATATTCTACTCCGCGCTCCTCTTCCTACCTTTCGTTTCTGCCTCTCTTTCTCTCTCTCTCTCTCTCTCTCCCTGCAAAGCCAACCGGCCGCCTGGCCAACGAAGCCCCCCTACATTGGTTTTGTGTAGGAAGAGCCATGCTCGATTGGTGTCGGTGTGTTTGTAAGCGCGCCGGGCAACATCAATGTTTCGAGTCGAGCGTCCGCCCCCATTATTTTACCCCCGGCCTTGGAACCGCCATCCCATCGACTAGCTGCTCTCTATATAACCTCCGCACGGCGCGGCATCTCCCTTTCTCCTCCTCTCTTCCGCTTCCTCCCTCTCGTGTTCTCCCCCGCTCGCTCGCTCGCGCGCACAGATCCCGATGCACACAACCGATACTTATTGATATGGGCTTCCGTTTACCGTTGACTACATACGTGACTTAACCGCCGGCCCCGTGCACTTCCGAAACTACTATATCAATTTTTAACTGCGCAGTCGGATTTATCGGAGCTTATATTCCACCCAGACGACTGCGCTTGTGCAGCTCCGCGAGTTTCCACATTCTTGTATGTTGTCCCATTAGATTCTTATTCCGTTCTTCTTCCTTAGTCAGGCAGAATATAAAATATATATATATATATATATATATATATATATATATATATATAAATTTAATGTTTCCATACGTTTTCTGTCTTTGCGAAAGAACGCTAATATTTGTCTCTTTTTAAATTGTTATATAATTAATCACACAAGAATGAAATATATTATTGATATGTTTGCACCTTTTATTCCTTGTCAATTAAAAGTAAAGCTAATAAGGTTGTTCGTTAACGAATTAAAGCAAAATCGCAGATGGGAGAGGGGAGGGTGAACCCAACCCCTATCGAGTGTTGGCTTTCAGTCGTGACATCGCACCACAGTGTTGACTGTCCGTCACACATCCCCGAGCTCGAATGACGACGTTTATAAGCTAGTGTCAACAACGGTGGGTAATGATGTGCGGTCCCCATGTTCAGCA